TGTTGGGCTTGATGAAGTTTAGTCGTCTCATGTAGACACTTGTTAGCAGGCGAGGTATTTGATGTCATAGAACAGAAAACCTTCAAATCTATTTAAAAAAAGTCAATGTTACTGTTCCAGTTTAAAAAGTGAAATCTTACCCATCATGGGGAAAAAAGTGAGTTCTCCCTCCCCTTCTGGCTCACTATTGAAAACAATAACGACTGACCCAATGAAACAATGCAATTATAATCGTATTAAGTGTACAATGTCAACATTAACTGCTGTATTATAATTAATCACATATGGAGTGAGAATGTAAGATAAACAATAACAATTACAAAGACCCTAAATATAAGCTTTCCATCTGTCACATCCAACATTAACTTAACTTTGCCATTGTTTATACTGTACATTACATTATACTGTATCCCCCCCACTCCCTTTTTCTTTCAAAGTTTCAAAAGAGCTGAATGTTCAGTTTTTCCTATCTGCATAAATTCCAATCTCATTTAGCAGGTGGTTTTAATCACAGCCAGCCATTTCTAATTCAATCATCCCCTTATACATAAAGCTACGTAATAAATGTGGGAGCACACACACATAAAATGGTGATTGGCCTCGTTGGCATGACTGTGCATAATTGAGGCATTCATGGTGGGCTGTTTTACCCTTTACACCCGTATGTAGCTCTCACCCTGCATAACCAATGGGTGGATTTGAATAATTGAGTTTTATGTTGGAGATTTACGTGTGTGTGTGTGTGTGTGTGTGTGTGTGTGTGTGTGTGTGTGTGTGTGTGTGTGTGTGTGTGTGTGTGTGTGTGTGTGTGTGTGTGTGTGTGTGTGTGTGTGTGTGTGTGTGTGTGTGTGTGTGTGTGTGTGTGTGTGTGTGTGTGTGTGTGTGTGTGTGTGTGTGTGTGTGTGTGTGTGTGTGTGTGTGTGTGTGTGTGTGTGTGTGTGTGTGTGTGTGTGTGTGTGTGTGTGTGTGTGTACGTACTCTGCCCTCATTTTCAGGAGTCATTCTACAGTTGAACCAATATGCTGCTTCCCTAATACTGTTCTTTATTAAAAAGTACTACTTATCTTCGGTTAGAGTTAATGAACATGGTACAGGTGGAGTTATAAAAATGATCAATTTTGCAACTGAGAAGCTTTGTCCATGGAATCAAATTGTCTTCCATAAATAAAGCATATTTTTATTAGGAAATGTCCGGCTTAAATGAAGAGTATATAGTCTCTACGGGGCCAAGCAATTGACAGTCATATATTTGTATTTACAATTTTTGTAGGAGTATTGGCCTGCTTTGCCAAATATAAGTTAAAACATGCAACCAATATCACATTATATAAAACACAACAATCATACATCCAACATAGAGTTGAATCCCAGTCTTTGCCTGTGATGTATTTCTAGCTGTCTGACTCAAACGTATCCAACTATCTGAACGACACATTGATATTTATGGAAACATTTAACATCCAATAGGGGGTTGAAAAATGTCAAGTCAAGTCAAATTGTATAGAAGTCTATGAGAAAATGACCCTAATTCTCACTTGATTTATTTCCACATTAAACATTTTCCTGATGAGTTAATGTTCTCAATCTGTAGTTTCAAGTCTTCTCTTATAAAGCATGATGTCCATTTACTAAATGATGATACCATTTGGAGTCAAATAGACGGTAAGCTTTAACGGAGGGCTAACTTTTTACCACATGGTGCATTTTCGTTTAACAACTCTTACCCTCGTATTGTGTTTTCTGGTAATTTCACCAATTTCGATATTCGTTGTACTTAGCACGAGCCTCGTGTGTCATTTCTGGTTGCAAAAGAACAAAATGACAACGGTCAAAATGCCGAACTCAAGGCTTCAAAACCGTAGTCCTCAAGTTAATGGATTTTATAACAGTGACTATATCCTCTTTTTATAACTGATATTACATTTTCTTTTAATTTTGGTTCACACAAAAATGATACGTCATTACATTAGGAAAAGATCACCTCAACTTACCTTAAAAAAGTAATTAATTCAGGATTGCTTTCCCACGTTTTCTTACAGGTTTCAACTTTGACTTCATCTGAGTGCAGTACTAATTCTTCTGGAAAGCCCAATCAACATTTTTCTCAGCGTTAAACATCTGACATCACTGCTTTCTGTCCAAAACTAGTCTCCATACAGTATTGCCGAAACCAAAACAAACCGAGACACCTGTTCAGACTCCAGAAGTAGAAGTCGAAGCGCTGTGTATCCAAGGCAACCTAAATTAGTCTCAGCAGGTATGTGGGCTTTATGACTCCTGCAGAGAGAGAGAGGTGAGAGCAAAATAAAAGTGCGGAGGAGTGGAGGGCAGCAGATAAGTCCCGAGAGAGGAAGTCAGGGCTGGATGTGATTAGCAGAAAGCAGCAGCAGAAGAAGAAGGAAGGGGAATGATTGGATCAGAGAGGAAGGAAGGGGAGAGGGTGAGTCAGGAGGCAATGAGAGTGATTGGGAACTAGCATGCTGCTTATTGCATGCCATGAAGAATAAAGTCAGCAACCTTGTGTGTGTGTGTGTGTGTGTGTGTGTGTGTGTGTGTGTGTGTGTGTGTGTGTGTGTGTGTGGTGTGTGTGTGTGTGTGTGTGTGTGTGTGTGTGTGTGTGTGTGTGTGTGTGTGTGTGGTGTGTGTGTGTGTGTGTGTGTGTGTGTGTGGTGTGTGTGTGTGTGTGTGTGTGTGTGTGTGTGTGTGTGTGTGTGTGTGTGTGTGTGTGTGTGTGTGTGTGTGTGTGTGTGTGTGTGTGTGTGTGTGTGTGTGAACAAGCTAGTAGGCAATAACAGAACAGACAGGGAAAACTAAATTACATCTCCAACAAAGACACGATTACACTTAGTGACAAACACACACACATGGGTACTGTAGAATTACAAATATACCATGTTCACACACACACACACACACACACACACACACACACACACACACACACACACACACACACACACACACAGTCACTCATTTACATTGGCTAGTGTCTGGATGTCAGAAGGGGTCCAAGAACACAAACGGCCCATGGGTGAGATGACACACACACACACACACACACACACACATATATAGGATCAATCACAATCCAAAAATATACATGTATGAAGGCTGTTTCTTAGAATTCACCAGTGACGTATTTTATGTCGTCGAACAAAACATAAAAATCTCTTCAACTTGTGGTAACCAGAGATAGACCTTACCTCAGGCTTCTATAACTCAAAACACATCCAACAAACCTCAACTTTGAGACAAGGGAAGAGAAAGTTGGAAAATACTGACTTATTTCCAGGTTTTTGGACTCATTCCTGCGCCTATATAGAAACATGGCAAGCCTATTTTAAAAGGACACATTTCGTTAGTAAACGTGAAGGGCTCGTTCTAATCTACCGAACCACAAATCAACCATTTCAAAGATAGTTATGATTAGTACGGTATATTTCATTTTTGCTCATGAAATACCCCTAAAATCCTACTGATCCTTTAAAAAATAAAGTTACACAACCCTTAGTCTTAAATGACTGAGATAAAATGATGAAAAGGGAGTTACAAAGAGTGTTTTGTGTGTGTCACTAAGTGTGATTTCAGTTCAGAAGGCAAAGGGAAAGGAGGACAGGCCTGAGAGAAACAGGAAACAATGATAGGGTGTGAACAAGTCTTTATAAGTTACATCCTAATGAATCACCGTCAATGTTGTGTTCCAGCAATTATTCATAATCAGTAAATGTGTGTGCATGTCTCGGACCGAGTGTTAGCAGGGAATGTGAGTTGGAAGATGAGGCAATGAAAACAATGGAGAAAACTGAGGATTAATGCAAGTTTAAGAGGCAATAATGGGATTGCTTTGTGTTTTAAAGGGGTTTTGATTTGTAATTGTAAGTTATTAACAGACTTTTGGGGATTGTTGTGACCTTTTTGACGGCTTTGTTGTCTATTTAAGTATTTTGTTAGGGGTTAGATGTTTGTTTTGGGGAATTGTTGGGTCTTTAAGGGAACAAAACTGTGTTAGTTTCATGTATTAGGCTCTGCGTTTCCTGTTGCTACTGCAGGTGAGTATATCGCATCTAATGCTGGTGTGTGTGTGTGTGTGTGTGTGTGTGTGTGTGTGTGTGTGTGTGTGTGTGTGTGTGTGTGTGTGTGTGTGTGTGTGTGTGTGTGTGTGTGTGTGTGTGTGTGTGTGTGTGTGTGTGTGTGTGTGTGTGTGTGTGTGTGTGTGTGTGTGTGTGTGTGTGTGTGTGTGTGTGTGTGTGTGTGTGTGTGTGTGTGTGTGTGTGTGTGTGTGTGTGTGTGTGTGTGTGTGTGTGTGGCTTTGTAGTATATCAGTGTGGTCTGTACTGTGGGTAACATATTCTTAACACAAGGTGACAATGACATCACTCTCTGTCGTAACATACTGATGTTTCATAACCTCTGCAAGACTTACTGTTGTTGGCGTAACAAACTACTTTTATTTCTGAGCTCATGTTTTTTTTAAATGTGGTATTTATTAAAGCTAGCTGTTTTTTCCATCCTGGAACTTTAAAGAATGCAAAGAAATATGTGGAAGAACTGCATTTCCTTACGGAGTAAATTAGGATATGTAAAGCTCCATGTCACCTAAATAATAAGATGTCTCTCTGGGGCTTCCTTCTTTGTTTGATTCATACATAGTGCATACAGCTTTTTGTAGAACTCTTTGAAAATGTAATCCAAAAACATCTATTTACGATGTCTTTATTTACTAACAGTGTTAAAATAACAAATGGATTCAATACTGTCAAAAACCTCAGTGCCAGTTCCTGGGACATGTAGTTTTATTGAGTGGTGTTGTAGTCCCTAACCTGTTGAACTCTTTGAAAATGTAATCTAAAAATTGGGCAGCGATATGTTAAAGCTGTTGGACGGAAACACAGCAAGACTGGTGAATAGATTCAATATATTCCAAACCTCAGTTCCTGGGAAATGTAGTTTTAACGAGTGGTTTTGTAGTCCCTAACCTGTTACTCTCTGTTTTCCCGCAGTCTGCACGTTGCGCTGTCAGAAGTTCCTGATCTCACGGGTCGGGGAGGACTGGATCTTCCTCATCCTGCTGGGACTCCTCATGGCAATGGTCAGCTGGGCTGTGGACTTCTGCATCGCCATCTGTTTACAAGGTGAGGGAGGGAGGGGTGAGAGGGAGGGAGGGAGGGGGGGAGTGAGGGAGGGAGTGAGGGAAGGAGTGAGGGAGGGAGTGAGGGAGGGAGTTATTAAATCCACCAGTGGGGTATTTACTAGGGATGTCCCGATCACCTTTTTTTGCTCCCGATCCGATTCCGATCATTTGATTTTGACAATCTGCCGATACCGATTTTTCCCGATCCGATCTTTATGCAATGCATTAAGAGAAAAAAAAAGGTAACAGATAACGGCTGGTCATCCAACGCGATGAATTCAGCTATCTTGGCTGTTATGTTTTTGGCCTTTTCACTGTTCTGGGGCAGTTTCTCTTTCCTTTTAAAAGTCTCTGAAAGTGTCGGTTGTTTCAGTGCCGTTACCTGAGTGGCCGCTGTGTACTCGTCGTGTTGTTGGTGGTGTTTGTATTAGATTGGTCGTGTTGAACGTAGCTCTGTTCTTTCCACCACGCGGAACCTCCGCCTTGCAAACATTGCATCTGGCTGTTACACTGCCTTCACTTTCAATTTTATAATACTTCCAAACTCCTGACATTTTCTCTGTCCTGAGTCACCAGCTGAACGTAGCCTCTTGTTAGCTTACTGCTACTATTAGACACTGCGCCCACTCTGTTGCCAGATTTGAGAGAAATAAGCAACCAGGTCTATGAAAACAAGCCCAAAAGAAGCAACACATACATGATGTTGTGTAATTTTAAACCAAAACTAAGGCCTCAGGATGACTTTAAGACGTGAACATGGTCATTTTTGTTTTGTAACATTAAATTAAAAAAAGAAAATTATTAAAAAAAAAAAAGAAAAAAATTCCCGATCCCCCCCCAATTTTTTTCTCCCGATTCCGATCTTTTGAAAATCACGTGATCGGCTCCGATCCCCGATCACGTGATCGGATCGGGACATCTCTAGTATTTACTGACATATTTTATGTTGTAGAACAAAACAATAAAATCTCTTCAAATTGTGTTAACCACATTTGAGTCTTCTAACCAAAAACACATTCAACAAACCATTGACTTCCAGATGCAGGAAGTCAACAGAAGTGCTCAAAAGCTAACTAATCTCCAGGTTTAGGCATCACTCCTGCACCACTCTCTACTGGAAGCCTGAAGTCAGGGGATTAGACATACAGGTGGATGAAGGGATGGATGTGAGGCCTCTTATGGCTTCAAACTGAGGAGGAGGAGGAGGAGATGTAAACGAGGGATTAGTCAGAGTCAGTCGACTTCACATCAGAGGAAGGTGGACCTCTTACAGTGATTGAAGGGAGTTGTAAGAGCCGATCTCAAACCTTACGGGACCTGCTCTAATTCAAATGGATTTCCCAGTGTGTGTGTGTGTGTGTGTGTGTGTGTATACATGTGTGTGCGTGGGCGTGTGTTTGCTCTCAAGGAGAAGCCAACCTAGTCTTGTCAGTTCCAGTTACGGTGTACAGTTCTTTTAATTGGATACAGCCACCATGACTAACCACCTGTCCTGAGGAAACACACACACACACACACACACACACACACACACACACACACACACACACACACACACACACACACACACACACACACACACACACACACACACACACACACACACACACAGGTACCTGTATGTATGACAGCTCTCCTGTATGTACACTTAGCCCTGTGTGTGTAAATACAGGAGACCCGTCATACATATAGTACAGGTACTTTTTGGTGTGTGTGTGTGTGTGTGTGTGTCTTTGCATTACAGTATGTCCTCGTGACATTTTTACATTAAATATAAATGTATCTCTTGCAAGAAAAAGTGGTTGTTTCTTAAGTGCACGGTATATTCATGGTTGCATTACTGTGTGTGTATTGTATTGTATGCTGTTGGATACATTATATTGTGGTTTACATGTCTTCCCCTCTGTGTGTGTGTGTGTGTGTGTGTGTGTGTGTGTGTGTGTGTGTGTGTGTGTGTGTGTGTGTGTGTGTGTGTGTGTGTGTGTGTGTGTGTGTGTGTGTGTGTGTGTGTGTGTGTGTGTGTGTGTGTGTGTGTGTGTGTGTGTGTGTGTGTGTGTGTGTGTGTGTGTGTGTGTGTGTGTGTGTGTGTGTGTGTGTGTGTGTGTGTGTCCACAGCGCAGAAGTGGATGTACGGGGGTCTGGACAGTAACGTGTTCCTGCAGTATTTGGCCTGGGTCACCTACCCCGTCGTCCTCATCACCTTCTCTGCCGGCTTCACACAGATCCTCGCCCCCCAGGCTGTCGGTACGAACAACACACACACTGCAACACACCCAACAACACACACACTGCACTACACACACTGCACTACACAGACCCAGCACAACACACACCCAGCAACACACACACACTGTACAGCACACACCCAGCAACACACACACTGTACAACACACACCCAGCAACACACACACACTGTACAACACACACCCAGCAACACACACACACTGTACAGCACACACCCAGCAAAACACACACCCCAGCAACACACACACTGTACAACACACACCCAGCAACACACACACACTGTACAACACACACCCAGCAACACACACACACTGTACAACACACACCCAGCAACACCCACACACTGTACAACACACACCCAGCAACACACACACACTGTAACACACACACCCAGCAACACACACACACTGTACAGCACACACCCAGCAAAACACACACCCAGCACAACACACACACTGTACAACACACACCCAGCACAACACACACCCAGCAACACACACCCAGCAACACACACACTGTACAACACACACCCAGCAACACACACCCAGCACAACACACACCCAGCACAACACACACCCAGTAACACACACACTGTACAACACACACCCAGCACAACACACACCCAGCACAACACACACCCAGCAACACACACCCAGCACAACACATACCCAGCACAACACACACCCAGCACAACACATACCCAGCACAACACACACCCAGCACAACACACACCCAGCAACACACACACTGTACAACACACACCCAGCAACACACACCCATCAACACACACCCAGCAACACACACACACACCCAGCAACACACACACACACCCAACAACACACATATCAACACACACATTAACACACACACTGCACTACACACCCAACAACACACACAGCAGCACAACACACTGCACAACACTCGCACCCAACAACACACACACTGCACAACACACACCCAGCACAACACACACAGCAGCACACACTGTAGATAAAGGACACACACACACACACCACTATTTCTATGTCTTTGTGTTCTTTAGTTGATGTCCTCTCTGTAATGGTCCATACCTTTTGTAGAAGGAGTAGTTAGGTGTGTGTGCCTCGATGTACATGTTTCTTCTACACATGGCTTTTTCAAATGGAATAGATAATAGGTCACACAAAGACTGAGAAGAAACAAGATGCCAGAGGTCAGGTAGCTTGAGTGTCTGTATGCTTTGAGTCTGTGATGTAACTTCTCCGTGTTGGTGTTGCTGCTGCAGGTTCAGGTATCCCTGAGATGAAGACCATCCTGAGGGGCGTCGTGCTGAAGGAGTACCTCACCTTCAAAACCTTTGTGGCCAAAGTCATCGGCCTCACCTGCGCTCTGGGCAGCGGCATGCCCCTGGGCAAGGAGGTAACACACACACACACACACACACACACATACACACACACACACACACACACACACACACACACACACACACACACACACACACACACACACACACACTTGTATTCCAAATAAAATGACATGTATATTCAATCACTCACCCCCATAGATCCTTGAATGCCTTTTTGGACTGTATGCATTCATGTTAGTGCATTTAGCCTTGTTGAAGCTCCCCTAGAGAAAGAGAAAAGGCACACACACACACACACACACACACACAGCACAAGCTACCAACTATGTCCATCACGTTTATCAATATGTGACTCATAAGACGGAGACGAAATGCGACTAGAGACTTGAAATGACTCATATACGCTTTCGTGTGTGTGTGTGTGTTTGTGTGTGTGTGTGTGTGTGTGTGTGTGTGTGTGTGTGTGTGTGTGTGTGTGTGTGTGTGTGTGTGTGTGTGTGTGTGTGTGTGTGTGTGTGTGTGTGTGTGTGTGTGTGTGTGTGTGTGTGTGTGTGTGTGTTGTGTGTGTGTGTGTGTGTGTGTGTGTGTGTGTGTGTGTGTGTCTGACACACGTTAACCTTTCCATTAGAAAAGCGTTTCATTACAGGTGCCTCTTCATGTTGGTGAAACTCAAATGAGCCGCATTCAACAGTTTCTAGTGATTCACAATATTACAAACATTATATAACACACGTAAAATCCTGACTCGCATCACAATGATGTTTACAAAACCTCTATCTGCTATAAATTAGCACGGAAAGCTGGTATGACATGCACAGATTTGCATAAAAAACCCATGTAGGTTAAAGTGGAGTGCAGAGACCCTGTGCTGTAATACAGATGTCATCAGTACACACACACACACACACACATACACACACACACACACACAACACACACACACACACACACACACACACACACACACACATACACACACACACACACACACACACACACACACACACACACACACACACACACATACACACACACACACACACACACACACACACACACACACACACACACACACACACACACACACACACACACACACACACACACACACACAGAGATAACATGCTACTGCACATGGAGCACATACATCTCCGCGGCTCATTCTCATTCCTCTCCATCCCTGCAGCCTGAATTACAAATGAACCATAAACTGCTCACGATATGTTCAGGTACACAGTGTGAAATGTGAAGAGGGAAAAACAACGAGCAGGGGATGCCCAACACGATATGCAGATGTTGTTTATGTTTCGTGGTGGACGTGTGTGTGCGTGTGTGTGTGTGTAATGTAGTGGAGATCACTGTCTCTCTGAGTTTTTTAGCAAGAACATTTCCAGGTAAGTATTGCAACCCCCAAAAGACTGTCTCGCCTGAAGACATGCTCGGAGGAAGATATCTTTTCTCTACTCTCTACACACACACACACACACACACACACACACACACACACACACACACACACACACACACACACACACACACACACACACACACACACACACACACACACACACACACACGTCCTCCTGCAGGCCTCTCACTTCCTTTAACTCGAGCACGATGTGACGCTCTCTCTTTTAAATCCTGTTAGTTCCACTTTAAACTTCATCCCCAGAATTGTAATATCCACTGCAGACTTTGTTGTCGACAGTGTGTTGATTGATTGACCTGTTTTCTTATGTTGTTTTTTTTCAGGGTCCGTTCGTACACATCGCCAGTTTGTGCGCCGCTCTCCTCAGCAAGTTCATGTCTCTGTTTGGAGGAATCTATGAGGTTAGTTTTGTAAAAAAAGTCAATAACACTCCTTCTAACTTTTTCTCCATTTCTCCCACTGCCAAAACTTTAAATTGAAACATCTATTATTCATTATTATTTCACCTCTTGTTCCAAATACACTGTGCACTCCATACACCATTTTAAGAAACTATTTCCACCTCTTTCTCCACTTTCCATCACTATATTTCTGTTTCATCGTCCACACAGCCAAACAGTGATATGAGTGAGGTATGTGAGTGTGTGAAATTATACAAAAAAAAAAAATCAGTTTTTATTATTCACTTTTATTAATAAGCTTGATGGGCAGCAGTAATTCACTTTCTGGCCACATGGGGGCAGCAGAAACAATATGTGACCACATAATTGACATATCATCACTTTTCAAGTTAAGATGGAGAACAAAAATAGTTTCTTATTCTTACGTTACATGTTTATTACATTTCATTTAGCTAACGCCTTTATCCAAAGTGCATTCATCCATGCAATTACATTATTACTATTATTATTATTATACATACATGTACACATCCAGAAGAATAAGGCCAGTTCCCACGCAGGTTTCCACTTTGACAGCCAATTTGTTTGGTGTTTAGTGCATGTAATACAAATACTAAGAGGACATAACAATACAGACGGAATACAAATGTAGAAAAGAACAAAATGCATAACAAATATGAGAATAATAAACCATAAAGATTCTACAAAATATAGGTTCATTGTGGGCAGGATATGCACAGATAATGATAGTGGGGTGTGCAAAAGTCCATTTGAAAGGAAGTGTGTCTTAGTATCAGAGAATTAACAAGCTGGGTTTCACTAACATACTTTATTGTGTGGTTAGAGCATACTTTAAGCATATTTAGAGGGAAAAATACAGCGCAGATATTTAATTATATAAAAAATAAATGTGTTTAATATGGGTAGCAAAAATAATATACAATAATAATAATATACAATCAAATATTGATAGTGGGATGTGCAAATTATAAAGAGTGTGTGCAATGAACAGGGATAATGGTCCAAGATATGTGTTAATGTACCACACACACACACGCACACACACACACACACACACACACACACACACACACACACACACACACACACACACGCATGTCTTTAGGGGGTTAGGGTCCCATAGGTCCCTGATGAGGCCAATTTCAGTCGGAAAACTGTTTTCATGGCGCACGTTTTTAGGGCTCCTCATGCTGCCCGAGGGTTGGGGACCGAAAATGTTTGTGTCCAGGATCACAAGGGTCCGGCACAATCTCCCCCCCCTCCTGAGGGTCCTGCAGGGCCGGCAGATTGCAGCCAATCATCCTCTCCGCAGCAACATTATCATTTTTATTGTCAGATTCCCGACGGAGTGAAATATCTGTCCCTTGAGCTGCTAAATGCTCCACTTATCTGCCCGGTAACAGCAGCCAACAAAACCATGATTTGAGGGTCGAACCAAAACCAGACGGAAGACGACACTTTAATTCAGCTCGAGTGATTTTGCATCAATCCCCTGATCATGAAAAATGCATGAAAATAAAAGCAGCTGGCGATATCTTCAGGCGGTGCTCACAGAATAACTGATGTAAAGAAAGACTTCTTAGGAGGAAGAGAAATGAGGGATGTTGACAGCAGGTGATTCGCCAGAGAAGCAGAAGGAGAACAGAGGGAATAAATGAGACTACAGATGGTTTTTTGGACAGTTTTAGGCTGCAGCCACACGAGGACGATAACAGTCGTATCCGCTACAGTTCTCTATCATATAGACCAGGGGTATTCAACAAAAATTCAACGAGGTCCAGTTAGAGAAAATCTCCCCATGCAAAGGTCCGGAACATCAAAATATCTAACTTGCTTTATGAATTAGTGTGATATATATTGAAGTAGCCTGTAGCTTTATCAACGTCTGCATGTAATCAACAACTGACTGCCAATCAAATAAAGAAAGTACAATTCAAAAACAACAATATGTATTGTCAATTAACATTGAACTATACAGATATACAGTAAATACTGTGGATGTGTGTAATGTTCCTCTCGGGCTGCATTTAAAAATAAAATAGAGAAATAAATAAAATAGCTTTGTTAACCGTTTCACATCATGACTTAACAGTTTCAGACGATTATAGAACATATCAGTCTTCACACATCATAACAATTGAACAGTTTTAAAGTTTCTCTTTCTTTCCCTCTTATATTGCAGTCCCTCACTCACTTTTCTTTAATTCAGTGCGAGAATTGAGCTTGAGCTTGTCCTGCCAGGAGTTTAAATCTGGGCTGAAATGGTGTCAGGGCCATTCTCATACACACATGCAGGTGCTCATTGGTTAGCCTCGGTTAGCCTCGGTTAGCCTCGGTTAGCCTGCCCTGGAACGATATTTAGTTTTAATTTTGATCCTGGTGGACTGATCATATTGGGCTCTGAGACTGCTTATTTTTTGTGACCTCAGTTCTGACTTGAGAGGGAATGTTTGGTCAAACACTTTGTGTTTTGTCTCATAGTGGCGTTTTGGCACTTTTAATCAGGGTTGGGAGGGTTACTTTGTAAATGTAATCGGTTACTGAATACATGGCTCTGAAAGTAATCCGAATACAGTTACGTGTCTTAAAAAAGTAACGTATTTAGATTACTTTTAGAATACTTTTGGAATACTTTATTTTTCCATAACAGATGGGTATGTTTTGGTGAACACCTTATTTTACTGTTTTAATGGCTTATCAAGAGCACAACTCAAACACAACATCTTGGTGTCATTCTGGACAGCTCCCTCTCATCTGCACCCCACATAAAAAACATCACCAGGACTGCATTATTTGTACTCTCTTAAACCTTTCCTTAGAATATGTTATGAATTGTCAGGTGTCCTTGGGTGCTTTGAAAGGCGCCCCTAAATAGAATGAATTACCATTATTATTTATTATCTGAAACGACGTAATAACTTTTAAAACTGTTTCCATTCACTTGCCCCATGCATTCAGCAGCAGCAGGCCATTCACTTTGATTTGATCCCGTTATGAAATGTCATCATTTCGACAATAAAGAAATGCTACATAAACGTTATCTTGCACATTTTATCGAACCATCTCCGTTTCTATATATTTTAAAAGAGATCTCTCTCTCTGATCTGCGTGCGGGGGCGGGGCCTTACAGACATGCTGCAGCGCTGTGCAGTGTGCACACAGTTCTGCTGGTAATGAATATTACATTTTATGAGGAAACTTTTCCACCAATAATTCCAAAAAGTATTCCAAAATGTATTCACATTCACCGCTTCTCTCCCTGTATCGCTAATTATTCTCTTCACTCACTTTCCTCTCCGCTTCTCTCTGCCGCTCTCTCGTCTCTTCTTCTGTGTTTCTCTCCCTGTATCGCTCACTCGTCTCTTTCGCCCCCTGTCGGCGGCGGTTAAAATAGAATCGGCCCGTCAAAATTGAAATCCCCTATTAATGTATTGATTATAGGTCCGGGTCCGTATAGGTCGGCGTCCGGATCCGGACCGCGGTCCGCCTGTTGCCGACCCCTGATATAGACGGTTCGGCCACACGAGGCCGACACAGAAACGCATATAACGATAACGGGTCCCTAGGTGGGTAGATCTGCGGACGAAACGCTCTGGGGGGGCAAACGGCTCCGTGTTTACGCCTATACGATCATGTCCTGATAACGATGACGCAATAGCCCCGCCTCTCCCCACCTCTGCTGCTCAGAGATCAGCTGCTGAGCTGTCAGGAGAGGGGCAGGAAAAGAGAGGCTCCCTGTTTTATTCTTATATTATTATATAGAGTCGTTATCAATTTGTTTTAAAGCTCAATAAATAACAAAGAAGACCTTTGACCGGCACTTCTCAAATTTTGCCCGGAAGATTTAAACTTTAACGTACATGTTGATGTTGACCGGCGGAGAGGTGGGTGTTTTTCATCTGCTGGTGGACTAACCGGAGAGTAGGAGCACACGCTTGCCTCGGGAAGGGAGAAAAAGAGTCAGAGCGTCCACAGCGGAGAATAAACAGAAGGGCAACCATGGCAACCATGCGCGGGAAGTCTTCTTCGCTGCTTTTGTGGCAGAACTACAGCGCCACTTACAGGCCTGGCATATGTACTACAGCGTCTTTCGAGCGGTCTCGTGTGAACGGACACGTTTCTGGTGCCTGTTGCGTGTGGACGGAAGACTTTTTTTATATCGATTTCGGTCCGTTTGCGTTATCGTCCTCGTGTGGCTCCAGCCTTAGAGCCGCAGCCTGGTTCTGCTTTATTACTTTCTGCTCTGAACTTCTGAGCTTCAACACCAGATAAGAGGCTTTTGTTTTTAAGTTTCCCTCAAGCTCAAAAAGTCGGAATTGAGTTGGAAATAAATGCAACTTTTCCACTTTTTCCTTAGGCATCAATTCCTTCCATCCCACGCAGAGTCCACTACCAGGAGTATCTCATAGATGTTTAATCAATACACTATTTGTCAGCTAATGAGATCTTTTCATCTTCAAAAGTAGAGAGATGCAGCCAGATAGAGATGGAAAGAGAAGCATCGTTTCCTTCTCCCGTCTGCTGGGATTAGAGCTGCAGGCCGGCTGGGAAATCTTCACTCTCATCTCCATGTTTTCTGAAGATGTGAGGGATGAAATGTCGGGGAGATGGGAGGCTTTAGAGGGAGGGCCGAGAGACAGAGAGTCCTTCGATGAAAGGGAGTACAGCCAGATGCATTCGATAAACTCGATGCAAACGTGATTGGCCGTCCATGATGTTAGACGATAAGGGAAACACTTGATAGTGATTTCAGCCTTTGAAAAAGTGCCGTCTTAGAGATAATGTGAAGTTATTGGTGAGGATATGGAGAAACGTGCAGCATTCTGATATACATTTAGACATTTAAGTTTAGCTTTGGCTGTAGATAAATGGCTGGAAATGAGACGTGCTTTTTCTGTCTGTAGGAGCCAGAGTCTACTTTAATACTCCAAAGTATCTGCACTTTACTTTCGACTCATGCACGCTTACAGTACATGGATGTATTCAGTGGTGGAAGAAATACTCAGACTCTCTTCTTAAGTTAAAGTATCAAAACTCATTTGTATATGTATAAAATGCATTTCAAATCTTACTTGAGTAAAAGTATTAAAGTATTGTACCGAAGAGGATTAGCATGAAAAACATTTCTTGAGGATTTGAAAAAAAAATGTGTTCTGAGAAAATAAATCTGAATTGTCACTTTTTTCTCAGAACTAGAAACTAAAAAATTTTTAGGGAGAAAAAAGTCAGAATTCTGACTTGAATCTCTACGGAGCCCTGGAGGGTTCATAGAGAGAAAAATAAATAAAATCGGCGTCGATAGATGTCGGGACGTCGATGAGCGTTGTGTCGCCCCACTCAGATTGGTGTGTACTGCACCCATCGTGTCTTTTCGGCCGTGCCGATTCGACATGTTGAATCGGGAGGCCGTCGGCCAAATAAATCTCTCTGATTGGCTGTTCAGATTACATTACATTACATGTTACTTGTTTTGCTTTTATCTAAAGCGACTTACATACTCAATACTGTGGACAATCCCCACAGGAGCAATTTGGGGTGAAGTGTGTTGGCCAGGGACACAACGACATGCTGACTGCAGTGGGGTTTGAACCTGATCCGAACACCAACGCACTAACCCACTGCGCCACACGCCTCCCACAGCTCAGTTTAGCGAATCAGAGCATGAGAAGCGAAACGGAAGTGAGGGACCCAAACAAACTATGAAGAAGGCAAATGTGAGATTTCATTTAACTCCAGCTCTCGACACAGGTTCAGGAAAGCCCCATGAGCTTCTCGCTGTAGAGTGAACATGGAACGCACACGCTATTTGTTGTTTGTTTATATCACGCAGTCTGTTCTTCTTCTCTCGGTGTATCACGCAGTCTGTCTTCCGGTTGTTGCCTCTTTTGAATGACGAATACACACTACCGCCACCTGCTGGTAAGGAGAGTTATTGCCACTCACGCATGCGCAGTTCGTACGTGCTACTTGGCCGTCGGCTGAAGTCTTTGCGGTGTGTTCCAGTGCGACACATGGCCAAGACGCAGGAGACGTGAGGCGAACACGTGGTGTCAGCTTGGTGTGTAAGAGGCTTAAGAAATATAAAATTGTCTTTTAATTGTAGTGGATGGAAAGTCAGGAAGTCAGACAGTTAGATTTTAATTTGCTGTTTTCTAGGATTTGTTTGCGTTTTAGCAGCTTCAGTATTTACTTTTGTATCTATAGATTAAAGAGGGAACAATGCACCTTAATTAACACGAGCACTTGAGCCCATCTTTTAGCCACACGATCTCATTTCCATCTTGATTGCTTTATATCAGAGAACATAAACACAGACAAATCACATGAGAACAATTACAGCTAACTAATATCGCACATATTCAAGCACATAATCAATTAAAAGCACATGAATACAAACCCATTGACATCCAACAAAGCACACACAGATAAAGCGAATAGGTTATATATTCTTAAGATCATCAATTCAACACCGTAATGTTCCTACGGGGAGTAATGAACGTTATCATCTTATCTTACCTCATGATAACAGCTCTAAATGTCACAAGAGGCTTCAGTTTAAACTCAAGCATCTCCTCCATCTTCCCCCTTTTTATTTTGTCATTTCTCTATCGGCCTTCCTCCCTTTTAATCTTCTTTATCGCCCTCATCATCCTCACCCATCCCCCCCCTCCTCTCCTTAGTGTTGTGCTGCACTTTAATGCATATTAATGGCGAGGTGTGAAGGTCCCTCTGCAGCAGGGTCTCCTCACTTTGAAACATGGAGCCTGCAGGCTGTGAAACCAGCGCTTTGCTCCAGCGTGCTTTTCGATAGATGTTATATAAAAAAAACTTGAAGGGATGTGTAATGTAGAAAACGCAGCTTTTGGGAAAAAAGCACACACCAGAACAGATATATATTGAATTTTATAAGATATACTAGTTGATCTCGAACTTACATGTTGAAACAAAGGCATTTCACATCACTTGAAAAATAAAGAGTGAACAAAAACAAACCGAGATGACCGTTAGCACTTTTATAAAAATATTTAACCTGAGATTTGAAATGAATAATCAAACAAATCCGACAAATACAACCTTTAAACCAGGATAAAGATATTATATATATTATCACCCAACCTCTAAGATGATTTCTCATATCCCAATACTGATATAGTAAATATATATCCTATGCCTAGTTGTATAACAGGGTGTCCGCGGGGTCTTAAAAAGTATTAAAAGTTGATAAATCAATTTAGCGAAAATTAAGGCTATTAAAAAGTATTAAAGGGCATTTTCCAAGGTATTACATTTTGCAGCTTGTTTTCAATAAGTATATAACTTGTCCAAAGAGGTTGTATTCTACAGTCTGCCTGAATGTAATCATTGCGTAGGTGTGTAGTGTGATTCTGTGTAGTTTATTTATGGCATCCCGTTGGGTTTGACGTCATCTGAACAGGACATCGCACGCTCACTGCTTGATAGCGCGCAAAGGTCCGTTTACGCCGGTTGCTAAGCAACATCGTTATGGGGAAATGCAAGTCTGCGTCCAAATGGTTGGAAGATAAGGAGGAAGGACAATCAATACTGTATATAGTCAATGTGAGGTAAAGTGTGTCGCCAAGGTAACCGGTTAGAACTCAAAGTGGCGATGAGGTCTTAAAATGTATGAAAAGGGTCTTAAAAAAGGTCTTAAAAGGAATTAAATGTCACTTCAGGATTCCTGCATACACCCTGAGGTGATATTATAATAAATAAAACGTTCCCACAAATAAGCAGTAAGCTTCATAAAGCTTCTGCTAATGTGACTTTCGAATAGACACATGATCAAATATCAAAAACTGTAGGGTTAGTCCACTCTGTGTCATTATTCATCACATTGTGCAATCAACTGCTACGGCACAATGATGAGTTATATACAAATGAATGTCTGTTCTAACAAAAAGGGATTTGGAATTAAATAAATGGAAATATTCCAGCCTAAAGGCAGTCTTTGAAACGTTCTCTCCAGATTAACATATTGCGCAGTGTGTGTGTGTGGTGTGTGTGTGTGTGTGTGTGTGTGTGTGTGTGTGTGTGTGTGTGTGTGTGTGTGTGTGTGTGTGTGTGTGTGTGTGGTGTGTGTGTGTGTGGTGTGTGTGTGTGTGTGGTGTGTGTGTGTGTGTGTTGTGTGTGTGTGTGTGTGTGTGTGTGTGTGTGTGTGTGGTGTGGTGTGTGTGTGTGTGTGTGTGTGTAGTGTGAGCAGAGAGAGATGATGTGTGTGTGTGTGTGCGAGCGCGCGGTGTGTGTGTGGTGTGCGCGCGCGGTCTGTGTGTGTGTGCGCGCGCGCGGTGTGTGTGTGTGTGCGCGCGCGGTATGTGTGTGGTGTGCAGCGCGCGCGGGTGTGTGTGTGTGTGAGAGAGAGGTATGTGTGTGTGTGAGAGATGTGTGTGTGTGTGTGTGTTATATGAGTGAGCTGCAGAACAGGGGGCTTATCAAGAGCCCTACACTGTAAGGTAGTAAGAGCAGGAGAAAGATATACACACACACACACACACACACACACACACACACACACACACACACACACACACACACACACACACACACACACACACACACTAACTCTTACCTGTCTGTATTACTGTCATGCTGCGTAAGGAACCCAGTCTCATGATAATAAAGGTGAGTAAGAGCAAGCATGTCCAAAAAAACTCAATTTCCCATGATGCACCATTTTTTAAATCCTGATAAAAAATAAATCATTACTATTCTCCTAAATAGTAAAACGGACTGTGCACGTTCTAGTGCTTTTAAAGATTGATTTGTCATTTCATTGGAGATGAATGTGTTCCTAATAACTTCATGTTCTCTGTTTTGAATGCTTTACAAATGGAAATGTATTTGGGTTGGACCCCAGACAAAACCACCAAAGTGAAGCCTCTGTTGTTTTATTAAATAAACCAAAATATGGTCATAACTGAAATGATCAAGCACAGTCATTTTGAAAGAGACTCAGGTGCATGTGTCTTTCAATAATTGGACAGTTGCTTACCATTACTTTCTTGAAATAATAAGAATGTGTTTTTCTCTTCAGATCACATGAATTACATCATAATTAGACAATCTGCTACAATCTGTATATTCCCGTGGTTCCTTCATGTCAAATATGTTGGTAGGATGGGGGCTCTTTTGAATGTTCTCCGAGCCAGTTACGGTACCTAAATGTCTGCATATAAATGACTTCCTGATGTATAACTGATGTGTGTGTGTGTGTGTGTTTCAGAACGAGTCGAGGAACATTGAGATGCTGGCAGCAGCCTGTGCTGTGGGGGTGGGATGCTGCTTCGCTGCCCCTATTGGAGGTGAGTTCAACTAAAGAAAGTATACATAAGTCTGGCACGAAATACACAGTGATGATGAATACACTGTGATGATGAATACACTGTGATGATGAATACACAGTATGTTGCATCAGGTATAATTCCAGTCTCACATTATATTAAAGCAGAGTGAGATTTGTTTCTTTGGAAAGTCTTAAATTACGTTTCAAAAATGTTCCAAATGCTTTTTTCTCACATTGCAATTTTAAATCTCAAAATGATAATTGGTTAAAAATGTATAATTTCAAATAATGAATTGAATGCCTCATGCTGTCATGTGACTCCGATACAGAAAGCAAAGAACATCTCATATCTAAGCTGTAGGGAAAAAGCAGAAGAGAGAAAAAAGAAACCCAACAAATGAAGCATGAGGAAATCAAAAGAGAATATTTAAAATAGTACGATTTGTACCTGTCAGAGAAGGGAGAAGTACTCAGGTCCTGTACTTGAGTAAAAGTAGAAGTACTCAGATCCTGTACTTGAGTAAAAGTAGAAGTACTCAGATCCTGTACTTGAGTAAAAGGAGAAGTACTCAGATCCTGTACTTGAGTAAAAGTAGAAGTACTCAGATCTTGTACTTGAGTAAAAGGAGAAGTACTCAGATCCTGTACTTGAGTAAAAGTAGAAGTACTCAGATCCTGTACTTGAGTAAAAGGAGAAGTACTCAGATCCTGTACTTGAGTAAAAGTAGAAGTACTCAGATCCTGTACTTGAGTAAAAGTAGAAGTACTCAGGTCTTGTACTTGAGTTATAGTAGAAGTACTCAGATCTTGTACTTAGTAAAAGTAGAAGTACTCAGATCTTGTACTTGAGTAAAAGTAGAAGTACTCAGGTCTTGTAAAAGTAGAAGTACTCAGATCTTGTACTTCAGTAAAAGTGGAAGTACTCAGGTCTTGTACTTGAGTAAAAGTAGAAGTACTCAGATATTATACTGGAGTAAAAGTAGAAGTACTCAGATCCTGTACTTGAGTAAAAGTAGAAGTACTCAGGTCTTGTACTTGAGTAAAAGTAGAAGTACTCAGGTCTTGTAAAAGTAGAAGTACTCAGGTCTTGTACTTGAGTAAAAGTAGAAGTACTCAGGTCTTGTAAAAGTAGAAGTACTCAGATCTTGTACTTCAGTAAAAGTGGAAGTACTCAGGTCTTGTACTTGAGTAAAAGTAGAAGTACTCAGATATTATACTGGAGTAAAAGTAGAAGTACTCAGATCCTGTACTTGAGTAAAAGTAGAAGTACTCAGGTCTTGTACTTGAGTAAAAGTAGAAGTACTCAGATCTTGTACTTGAGTAAAAGTAGAAGTACTCAGGTCTTGTAAAAGTAGAAGTACTCAGGTCTTGTACTTGAGTAAAAGTAGAAGTACTCAGGTCTTGTAAAAGTAGAAGTACTCAGGTCTTGTATTTGAGTAAAAGTAGAAGTACTCAGGTCTTGTACTTGAGTTATAGTAGAAGTACTCAGATCTTGTACTTGAGTAAAAGTAGAAGTACTCAGATCTTGTACTTAGTAAAAGTAGAAGTACTCATATCTTGTACTTGAATAAAAGTTGAAGTACTCAGATCTTGTTCTTGAGTAAAAGTAGAAGTACTCAGATCTTGTACTTAGTAAAAGTAGAAGTACTCAGATCTTATACTTGAGTAAAAGTAGAAGTACTCAGATCTTGTACTTGAGTAAAAGTAGAAGTACCCGAGTGTAGGAATACTCTGTTACAGTCAAAGTCCTGCATTCAAAATGTTCCTCAAGTAAAAGTAGAAAAGTATTCTCATCAAAATATAGTGAAAGTAGCGACAGTAAAAGTAGTCATTGTGCAGATTGGTCCATTTCAGAATAATATATATGATATGTTTTATAATGATTGATCATGAAAGTGTTCTCAAAGCTGGTAAAGGTGCAGCTAGTTTGAATGACTTTGTATACTGCAGGGTAGCTTGTGGATTTACTCCAGGTGGAACTAAAGTCTGATTTAACACTTGATTATATTTCACATCATTCATCCAGATCTGTGAAGTAACTAAAGGTATTCAATACATGTAGTGGAGTAAAAGTAACACCATGTACTCTGAACTGTAGTGGAGTAGAAGTACACCATGTACCTCTGAACTGTAGTGGAGTAGAAGTACACCATGTACCTCTGAACTGTAGTGGAGTAGAAGTACACCATGTACCTCTGAACTGTAGTGGAGTAGAAGTACAACCATGTACCTCTGAACTGTAGTGGAGTAGTACACCATGTACCTCTGAACTGTAGTGGAGTAGAAGTACACCATGTACCTCTGAACTGTAGTGGAGTAGAAGTACACCATGTACCTCTGAACTGTAGTGGAGGAAAAGTACACCATGTACCTCTGAACTGTAGTGGAGTAAAAGTACACCATGTACCTCTGAACTGTAGTGGAGTAGAAGTACACCATGTACCTCTGAACTGTAGTGGAGTAGAAGTACTTTTATTTTGGATTTAAAAGCAATAAACCAGGTGAATTATTTCAGTTTCTGCAACATGTTCCATGCCGACGGTGCAAATTACACAAGCTACCTTTTTTTAAATGTGTGTGTGTGTGTGTGTGTGTTGCAGGTGTGTTGTTCAGTATTGAAGTAACGTCCACGTTCTTCGCGGTGAGGAACTACTGGAGAGGTTTCTTCGCAGCGACCTTCAGTGCCTTCATCTTCAGAGTTCTGGCCGTGTGGAACCGAGACGAAGGTCAGGGAAATGATTCAAAACCCCTTTCTGTAAAGTCTGTCAAACTGCCAGGAATGCGGTTACTAGCATCACAAGTGTCTTAATAACTTAAGTGTAATGTATATTTTTTTGCCGACAGATTAACTTGGTCTATCTCTACAAACAACATATGAAATTAAATTAAAATAAATCGGGGGGAAAACAAAATAAACCTTTTTCAATATAAAGAAATTCTGAAAATGATTTCAAACTCCCGAGACGTTGGTACCTAACAGAAGTGAAACTCTCACATCTTAATAAAGTAAATAAAGCGGAGAAATGTTGAATTATCTTGACAGAGTCCCTCAGTAATCTTATCAAGCTCACATGGAAATTATATATATGTTTGACAGCTGACTTATTGACATGTTTCCAGTGGTGCAAAGCAATATTTACTTTTTTACAATGTCATGCAACTGTATTTAAGGACAGTTACGGCTACATTATACTCAACATAAGTATATTTCCGTTGCCCTTAAACTCGTCTGTTAGTTTGGATGAAACTCTGACAGGTTCCTGATCTCTTTCTGTTCTCCTTCTTCTCCAGAGACCATCACGGCTCTTTTTAAAACTCGTTTCCGCCTCGACTTCCCCTTCGACCTCCAGGAGCTCCCTGCCTTCGCCGTCATTGGGTGAGTCCTCTCTGCTGATTGGTCCATTTCTGATTTCACATCATTTACATTAGAGCATGGGTTGGTAATATATAGGTGTCATACATTGTGTTTAAAAAATAAATAAACACTTGTTGACTTAAAGTATTAGGGAAATAAATAAATAATAATGATTAAACTAAATAATTATAATCAAAATAAATGTTATTAATATGATTATTATTATTAAAAATTATCATATTATATATACAATTATGAAATAATAATGTGTATTTAAAGAGCACTTTTCAAGGGGCTCAAATACACTTCCCATGTCCAGGTTAAAATTCATAAACAATCGCAACACACAACACTACGATCAACAAATCAGGTTGAGTTTGCCAAAAAAAGTCCAAGAAACTTTGAATAAATTCACTTATTCAGGGTTTTTTGTTGTTGTTGCCGTCTGGTTGTTTTGTCAGGTTTTCTTATTTATTCAGATATGAGATATTATTCAGGAGCGACTGTGAAGCTGCTTCCTCCGGGCGAGTCACCTGACATGGATAATTCAGCACTGAGGGGGTCTCATTTCATCCTG